AAAACATGATTAGCACATTCGCTGGCGGGAACCAGTTGGGTAGGGGTGATTGGTCAGTTCAAAAGGGGTATTCATTTGAACTGATTGGTTTAAACCAAGAGGGGTGTTCGTGCTGAACTACATGGCTTCCCAACACCATAAACTCCTGGGAGGGTCATCTGGCATCCCAGGTATTTCCCTGTCTCATGCTGATTGGTGGCTCTAGGGGATTGCTATGGGTCCCCACCTAGCCTGACTGAGTCAGGGACACCTGGCACCGCAGACCTCTCCTGTTATTTGTAGATAAACAACTTAGAAGGGTGGGGATGTGCCTAGGAGTGCTCTGTGGGTCTTTCCAAGGACAAAGTTCATGTCCCTTCCTTGGATAGGCTTTGCTCTGAGGTAGAGGCTGGTTTTTCAACACATGCCAGGCCAGCAGCGCACTACCACTTGAGCCACATCCCCTGCCCCTGGAGATTTCTTTTTCAGTGCTGGGAATTGAGCCCAGGCCTCATGGGTGCTAGGCAARTGCCCTGCCACTGAGCTGTACAYCCAGCTGGAAGATTATTTTAAAAATTAGATTTGCAGGGTAGGATTCGCACTGAGTCCACCCGTTTCCTGTCATTTGCTCTTGGGGCTGCTGAGCTCCTGCTCCTTCTCCATATTGGCCAGAACTTTCCCCTATGTTCCTTCCGCATTCCCTAGGTTTCCTCCCACAGAGCCTTCCTGTGTCTTCCCTCCTGGTGTTAGACAGCCTTTGAACTGGCCTTGTATGCTGCAGGGCCCAAGGAACTGGTAAAACGTGTTTTAACACCTTCCTAGTTGCTATTCACAAGGGATTTAAAGATCTTTTCTGCACTCCTGAGAAATGGAGATCATTATTCCCATTTCTGTTGAAGAAATTGTAGTTAAGAGACTGAGATATACCCGYGCAGAAACCGCTAGATTGTATCAGACCAGGGATATAAATAAACCCTGTTGATTCTCTGCTCTCATGTTGCCTCTATAGCAGAGGGATGTCTGGGAAACATGCTTTTGTTGTATAACAAATTTAATCATCTCTTTTTGTGGTATTGGAGATTGGCTCCAAGGCTGCTGGACCACAGAGCTACATTCTTGTTACCGCTGTTGACGGGTGACRAGCCCTTGGTCCCCTGAATGCTGAAGTACAACACCAGAGAAGCACGCGGAGGCAAGTGGAGAGTGAAAAGTGGAAGCTTTATTAAGGACAGCAGAAAAGACTTCTTCCGAGGAAGAAGGGGACCCAAGGAAGGGGGAGGGTGTGCCTTTTTTATAGCTGAGGTCTTGTTTC